TGAATCGTACTGTTCATCACCCACTTCCCACACGCAACAGTAGCTCATGGGTACCACATATAACTTTGCCAAAGTCTCTGACAAAGTTGAGACTACTTTTCCAGCCTTGTCAGCACCTGTCACACGCACACTCAGCTTTGCGGAAATTATGGGCATTCTGTCGAAGATTTCTGGCGAAGTAGAAAGCACATGAATCGTACTGTTCAATCACCCACTTCCCACACGCAACAGTAGCTCATGGGTACCACAGATAACTTTGCCAAAGTTCTCTGACAAAGTTGAGACACGTGAAGCTTGCAGCTCCCACTACATCGCTCTGACCAAGAAGGGTAAAAGAATAGCAAAGAAACAACACTAACAAAGTTTAGACACATAAATTTTGAAGGTCTAGCTACCATATTATTACCCACAAGGGTAAAGGAACAGTACCACTGCTGGATAATTGGAAAGTCCCGGTGTGTCAACCTCTGTGCTTCGTGGCAAGGTAGACTAGCAAACATGCCCAACCTTTACTCATATTCGAGAAAACACTCCCAACTCCCAACATGATTACTTTCTCAAAAATCGAAGACACCGCTCTCCGAATCTCGAGAGCCAGACCCCCAGCATGATTGCTTTCTCAAAAATCGAAGAGGCATCGTTCTCCGAATCTCGAGAGCCAGATCCCCGACAGGATTGCTTGTTCGAAAACCGAAGAGGCACCACTTTCCCAACTTCAAGAGCCGGATCTCCTTGGATAAAGCTTGTCTGTAATCTTCACACGCAACATCAGCTTTCCAGATACCACAGACCACTTTTTCAAAGTGCTCTGACAGAGTTAAAACATGTGAAGCTGGCAGCTCCCACTACCGTGCTATGACCAAGCAGGGTAAAGGAATAGCATTATTACTTGATGTTAGGGAGACTCCTATATATGTCGACCTCCATCCCCAACGGACAGGCAGACCTGCAAAAATGCTCAACCCTTCCTCTTATCTGAGAGGGCACTCCCAACGAAGCCTTTCGAAATATTCAGCTTTCTTTCCCCCCGATAATACCTCTGTAAACAAGCTATACTAGAGCAAGAATATCTCATATCATCAGGGTTAAAAAGCAAGAGTATCCCATATCATGCTTTTTCCCTGTCTTTTCCTTTGGCCTTGTTCTTACCTGCAAGACAAGGAGAAAGAGAGCAATCAGTCAGCACTTGGAATCAAGCTTCCAGCCAGGAACTGACTGCCTGGAACCCCTTACCTGGCATTGCTCTCGAGTACTCATCTTCAACATCTTATGCTTCCAGGGAAGATACCGCATCTGCCTGAGGAACAGATAGGGCAAGTGAGAAGGATACAAGGAAGCATGTGGAGACAAGCGTAACAGCACACGTGCCGATACATCCACTACTCTGTCAAAAGCAAAAGTATCCCATATCAGCAGGGTCGAACGTACTCTAGATTTGATGGACTTGTTTTGACCCTCAAATTCTTCAGTCGGCCTTATACTCTGGAGGAAACCAGAAAACCCTCCAGCCCAGTTCAAGAATAAGCCTGTGGAAAGTTACTTCTTCAAAAGCAAAAGTATCCCATATCATCTCTTCTCATTTTTCTTCTCTTTATCCTTCATGCTGCCTGCAAGATAGGGAGAATGTGAACAATCAGCCGGAGCTCTGATTGCTTACCTTGTCTGTCACCTCTTTCAGCAGATCCCCTAGCTCGGCGACTTGGGGGACTCCTACTACATGGTTTGTATCGCGCTTGACCAAGCCTGAAACTACAAGTAAGCTTCAAGTGAAATTGATACATTACCTTGTGCATCTCCACCAGTTAACAGATACCACCCCTGGATGGAAGAAGAGTACTTCCAGAGAAGATGCCACATCTACCTATGAGACAGATAAGGCAAGTCAAGACGATACCACACTCCGGTACTTAGAAGTTTCGTGATTACGAGATCATTCTCCCACAATATTTCCTAATGTCATTTGTACTAAATCATTCACTTGTACTCACTAAAGGAGAGCTTGAACCTATGTACTGTGTAAACCCTTCACAATTAATGAGAACTCCTCTATTCCGTGGACGTAGCCAATCTGGGTGAACCACGTACATCTTGTGTTTGCTTTCCTATCTCTATCCATTTATATACTTATCCACACTAATGACCGGAGCAATCTAGCGAAGATCACAAAAAGTGACCGTTTTCGCTACCTAGGATCTATCTTGCAAGAGAACGGAGAATTAGATGGAGATCTCAACCATAGAATACAAGCTGGATGGATGAAGTGTAAGAGTGCATCCGGCGTGTTGTGTGATGTCGTCGTAGGCCACTGAAGCTCAAGGGAAAAATTTTATAGGACGGCAATAAGGCCAGCGATGTTGTATGGCACAGAATGTTGGGCGGTGAAGCATCAACACGTACACAAAATGGGTGTAGAGGAGATGAGGATGCTTCGTGGGATGTATGGGCACACGAGAAAGGATAAGATTGGGAATGAGGATATCCAAGGTAAAGTAGGAGTAGCCAAAATTGAAGGAAATATGAGAGAAAATCGGTTCCGGTGGTTTGGACATGTGCAAAGAAGGCCTACTGACGCTCCGGTTCGAAAATGTGACTACGGGACAGAAGTTCAGGGCCGAAGGGGTAGAGGAAGACCTAGGAAAACTTTGGAAGAGACCCTAAGAAAAGACTTGATTACTTGGATCTAACGGAGGACATGACACAAAACCGAGCGCAATGGCGTTCTAGGATTCATATAGCCGACCCCACTTAGTGGGAAAAGGCTTTGTTGTTGTTGTTGTTGTAATTTTTCAATTGATATTAGATTGGGAGTTAATGAGGAGTTTTTTTTTAGCATGGGGAAATATCGAAGCATTAGTTTTGATAATTAGATTGTTACAAACACTTCTATGTAAAAAAAGTTGAAAACTTTTCCTTTAAAATTTCAAAACATAAACTAGAAGGAAGAGAAACATCCATGCTTGTATCTCATTTCTCACACAATAATCTAAGAACTCACAGAAGCTGATAGAACAAAATACCTTAGCTCAGACCCCCTTGGAGGACTAGAAAACTAGAGACATGGAGGGCAACCCAGTTTTTCATTGTGATTTGGGGAAAAAAGAGTGTTATATGACATGAAGAGGAAAGATGGGAAAAGGTGAATTTGATAGTTTGAGATGATGGATTAAGAGCCGTAGAGTGGACTCCATATAGCACTTTACGATTGCGCTCTCATCTAACTATACTCTAATGCACATTTATCTTTGTACATATATGAAATTTTTATACTTTCATGATTTTCAGGATTGAAGGTGCTTAAGTTCAAGATTACTTAAGTACAAGTTCCAAGTTAGTATGTTGTCTTTAATGCTTGCAATTTACAATGACATATTATTAATGCTACCTGTAGCCAAATAATCATTGCATTTGAATAGTAATGATGAATATGAAGTATTGTGCATGTATATGCTGAAAGCATGGTGGTTTCTAAGTTAGATTTGCTATTTTCTAGTACGTTTGTTTTAGCATCTAGTCGTTGTTGAGTTGGGATATGTGAATTTTTTAATTGAGTTTTTTGACGTTTTTGGTTGTTATATTATGTCTATCATGACAATTTTACATATATATTTATATATATATTTTCTATTATGGTAACCTACTGAAATATGTCAGAGTGTGCAGCTCAATACTAGGATTGAAGTGATTTGATTTCATGAATCGACAATGGATTCGTAGTCGGGATCGCCTTAGTTCCAAATATAGAAAAGGGATCAAGTCATACATTGCTTGTCACCATGTGAACAAGAATAATCAAATACCATGTCCTTGTAGAGTTTTCCATAACACATTTTTTCACTTAGTTGAAGATGTTCATTTCCATTTGTTGAATTCCTGTATGGATATGAATTATGATAGATGGATATATCATGGGGAGCATATCCAACAAGTGCAAGGAGAATCTTTGGTATCTACGAACAATGAGCCAATCAGTAACTTTAATGTCAACATGTTTAATATGATTGAGGATGTCTTTGAAAGAATAGATGATGATGATGATGATGATGATCAAGATACAATGGAGAACCAAGATACCATGTGGGGTGGTGATATGACCAATGCGTGGACAGATGTTGATACTTATGAGATGCTGCTTGGTGAAGCTCAAAAGGAACTATACCTTGGATGTAAGCAATATACAGTTTTGACATACATCAAGGAGTTGATTCACACCAAAGTTGACAACCACACGACAAACAAGGCAATTGATAAAATGTTAGCAATGATGAAGAAGATGTGTCTCCAACCTAACAATGTTCTGGACTCATTTTGTGAGTGCAAGAAGATTTGAAAAGTCTTGGATTGGGGTGTGAAACTATACATGCTTGCTACTATGATTGTGCACTATTTTATAAAGAACACGAAAAGAAAGATAGAAGTCCAATATGTAATGAGCCAAGGTATAAGGATAGTCATTATGAGCAGAGGAAGAAAATTCCAAGAAAAGTGTTGCGATACTTTCCACTTAAGCCAAGGCTACATAGGTTGTTCATATTGAGACATACGAGCGAAAACATGAGGTGGCACAAGGAGAAAAAAATTAATGATGGGAACACAAGGAGGCATCTAGCAGACTCGAGTTCTTGGAAAGAATTTGACCAAATGTACCCTAATTTTGCTCGAGACCCACGAAATGTCCGATTAGGCCTTATGAGTGGCAGGTTTACTCCTTATTCAGATATAAGTAAGCCGTATAGTATATGGTCAATTGTTGTATTTCCATATAATTTGCCCCTCATGGAGATGCATGAAAAAACATTTTTCTTTTCTAACCTTATTAATTCTTGGACCAAAAGCACCTGGAAATAAGATTGACGTTTATTTGTGTCCATTGGTTGATGAGCTTAAGGAACTGTGGGAAAATAGTGTTCAAACTCATGATAAGATTACTGAGAGTACATTTAATTTGAGTGCAACTGTTATATGGACCATTAACAACTTCCCTGCTTATGGAAATTTATTAGGTTGGAGCACTCATGGCAAGTTGACATGTCTAGTGTGCAGTGAAGGTGGATCTTAAATTGAGTTAAGAGACAAGTATTGTCATATTGGGCATCATCGTTACTTACCTATGAATCACTCATGGCGCAAAAATACTGAACTCTTTAATAGTCACCGAGATATGAGACATCGTCCTAGAAAATTCTCATGTGATGACATACTTGATCAACTTGATTCCCTTTTATCTTGTACACTTGGTAAGCATCGTACTAATAAAGATAAGAAGAGGAAGCAGAATGTCGAAGAATTAAATTGGACAAGGAAGAGTATTTTTTTCGAGTTGGAATACTGGTCCAAATTGAAGATTCAACATAATCTTGATGTTATGTATATTGAGAAGAATATATTTGACTGTTTGATTGGGACATTGCTGAATACTGGGAAGTCGAAGGATACCTTTAAGGCACAGATGAATTTACAAGACATGAATATTAGATAGAGTTTGCATTTGAAACTAAATGCACGTAACATATTGGATAAGCCATTGGCTCAGTATGTATTTAAGTCATATAAACGTAAAGATTTCTTGCATTGGTTGAAATCAATTAAATTTCTAGATGGTTATGTAGCAAATGTATCACATAAAGTGAATATAGATGAAGAAAGTATTTTTGGTTGGAAGAGTCATGATTGTCATGTGTTGATGCAATATGTGCGTCCTGTGGGCATTTGAAAATATTTGAAAAAGCATATATATGGTCCAATTGTTGAGTTTTCTAGTTTTTTTTTTTCAACAAATATGTGCAAAGACTCTGACTGTTATTGATCTTGACAAGTTGGAATAAGACATTGCCTTGATGTTTTTTTTTTCGAGTTGGAATACTGGTCCAAATTGAAGATTCAACATAATCTTGATGTTATGTATATTGAGAAGAATATATTTGACTGTTTGATTGGGACATTGCTGAATACTGGGAAGTCGAAGGATACCTTTAAGGCACAGATGAATTTACAAGACATGAATATTAGATAGAGTTTGCATTTGAAACTAAATGCACGTAACATATTGGATAAGCCATTGGCTCAGTATGTATTTAAGTCATATAAACGTAAAGATTTCTTGCATTGGTTGAAATCAATTAAATTTCTAGATGGTTATGTAGCAAATGTATCACATAAAGTGAATATAGATGAAGAAAGTATTTTTGGTTGGAAGAGCCATGATTGTCATGTGTTGATGCAATATGTGCGTCCTATGGGCATTTGAAAATATTTGAAAAAGCATATATATGGTTCAATTGTTGAGTTTTCTAGTTTTTTTTTTTCAACAAATATGTGCAAAGACTCTGACTGTTATTGATCTTGACAAGTTGGAATAAGACATTGCCTTCATATTGTGCAAACTAAGAAAAGTTTTCCCACCTGCATTCTTCATTCCCATGGTTCACTTAGTAGTGCGCTTATCACACGAAGCAAAATTAGCAGGACCAGTCGGATATCAATGGATGTATCTTGTAAAGAGGTAAATGGCCATGATGTTTCTGTTAGTTGCATAATTTTTTTATTTCTACGTACTAACAATTGTTAACTCCGCCGTGTAAGTTTATCTTACATTGCCGGTCCCAAGCCCGGATAAAGGAGGAGGGGGAGGGCGTCAGGTAGTCGACAGCCGGCACTCCATGATCACGTCGAATCCTTATGAAAATGAATCCAGAACGAAATCACGCTAAAGCTAGGGCGTCACCCGTAAGTGGCGCGCTGTGTGGCCCGAGCACAGTGATAAATGAGTAAGGGTCGCTGTATCTCCATCGGCACCCGGATGCAGTGTTAAATGAGCAAGGGGGCTATAGAAACTTCTTTTCGAACGACTCCACTCAAAGTTGTTGGGAGCATATGCTCCTATCAACTTTAAAACGGGACACACAAAAGAAGTACTTTGATCCTATTAGACGGGGAAGGGTGAAGAAGTTAGGACAGAAGGGTAGAGTTCAAGAGAGCAAAATGCGTTTTAGGAACGTGGAATATAGGAACATTGACGGGAAAATCTATGGAAGTAGTAGAAGTTATGGTGAGGAGAAGGATAAATATTATGTGCCTAGAAAAGTGGGTTGGGCGTAAGGCAAAGGATCTAGAAAACTCAGGGTTTAAACTATGGTATTCGGGCACAAATAGAACGAGAAACGATGTTGGCATCATCGTGGACAAGACCTTGACAGAAGATGTTGTAGATGTCAAGAGGGTAGGAGATAGAATCATGGCAATCAAGATTGTAATTAGGACAAGAACTTATCAATGTGATTAGTGCGTACGCACCCTCAAGTAGGGTTGGATACGAGTTCGAAGGAGAAATTTTGGGAAGACCTTGGAGACTTGGTGCAAGGAATTGCTCAGACGGAGAAGTTATTTATAGGAGGAGATTTAAATGGACACGTGGGTAGGGAGACAGGCAACTATGGAGGTTTTCATGGTGGCCATGGTTTTGGGGAGAGAAACGAGGATGGGGAAGCTATCTTGGATTTTGCAATGGTATATGATCTCTTCTTAGCTAATACCTTCTTTAAGGAGAGAGAAGAACATGTGATCACCTACAAGAGTGGGTCGTCAAAAACACAAATAGATTTTCTTCTAATAAGGAAAGGGGATCGTATAACTTGTAAGGATTGCAAAGTTATACCAGGAGAGAGCGTGGCTAATCAACATCGCTTGTTGGTGATGGATGGACATATCAGACCCCCAGTAGGATTGCTTTCTCAAAAATCGAAGAGGCATCGTTCTCCGAATCCCGAGAGCCAGATCCCCGACAGGATTGCTTGTTCGAAAACCGAAGAGGCACCACTTTCCCAACTTCAAGAGCTGGATCTCCTTGGATAAAGTTTGTCTGTAATCTTCACACGCAACATCAGCTTTCCAGATACCACAGACCACTTTTTCAAAGTGCTCTGACAGAGTTAAAACTTGTGAAGCTGGCAGCTCCCACTACCGTGCTATGACCAAGCAGGGTAAAGGAATAACATTATTACTTGATGTTAGGGAGACTCCTATATATGTCGACCTCCATCCCCAAAGGACATGCAGACCTGCAAAAATGCTCAACCCTTCCTCTTATCTGATAGGGCACTCCCAACGAAGCCTTTCGAAATATTCAGCTTTCTTTCCCCCCGATAATACCTCTGTAAACAAGCTATACTAGAGCAAGAATATCTCATATCATCAGGGTTAAAAGCAAGAGTATCCCATATCATGCTTTTTTCCCTGTCTTTTCCTTTGGCCTTGTTCTTACCTGCAAGACAAGGAGAAAGAGAGCAATCAGTCAGCACTTGGAATCAAGCTTCCAGCCAGGAACTGACAGCCTGAAACCCTTACTTACCTGGCATTGCTCTCGAGTACTCATCTTCAACATCTTATGCTTCCAGGGAAGATCCCGCATCTGCCTGAGGAACAGATAGGGCAAGTGAGAAGGATACAAGGAAGCATGTGGAGACAAGCGTAACAGCACACGTGCCGATACATCCACTACTCTGTCAAAAGCAAAAGTATCCCATATCAGCAGGGTCGAACGTACTCTAGATTTGATGGACTTGTTTTGACCCTCAAATTCTTCAGTCGGCCTTATCTCTGGAGGAAACCAGAAAAACCTCCAGCCCAGTTCAAGAATAAGCCTGTGGAAAGTTACTTCTTCAAAAGCAAAAGTATCCCATATCATCTCTTCTCATTTTTCTTCTCTTTATCCTTCATGCTGCCTGCAAGATAGGGAGAATGTGAACAATCAGCCGGAGCTCTGATTGCTTACCTTGTCTGTCACCTCTTTCAGCAGATCCCCTAGCTCGGCGACTTGGGGGACTCCTACTACATGGTTTGTATCGCGCTTGACCAAGCCTGAAACTACAAGTAAGCTTCAAGTGAAATTGATACATTACCTTGTGCATCTCCACCAGTTACAGATACCTACCCCTGGATGGAGGAAGAGTACTTCCAGAGAAGATGCCACATCTACCTATGAGACAGATAAGGAAAGTCAAGACGATACCACACTCCAGTACTTAGAAGTTTCGTGGTTACGAGATTATTCTCCCATAATATTTCCTAATGTCATTTGTACTAAATCATTCACTTGTACTCACTAAAGGAGAGCTTGAACCTATGTACTTGTGTAAACCCTTCACAATTAATGAGAACTCCTCTATTCCGTGGACGTAGCCAATCTGGGTGAACCACGTACATCTTGTGATTGCTTTCCTATCTCTATCCATTTATATACTTATCCACACTAATGACCGGAGCAATCTAGCGAAGATCACAAAAAGTGATCGTTTTCGCTACCTATGATCTATCTTGCAAGAGAACGGAGAATTAGATGGAGATCTCAACCATAGAATACAAGCTGGATGGATGAAGTGTAAGAGTGCATCCGGCGTGTTGTGTGACCGTCGTAGGCCACTGAAGCTCAAGGGAAAATTTTATAGGACGACAATAAGGCCAGTGATGTTGTATGGCACAGAATGTTGGGCGGTGACGCATCAACACGTACACAAAATGGGTGTAGCGGAGATGAGGATGCTTCATAGGATGTATGGGCACACGAGAAAGGATAAGATTGGGAATGAGGATATCCGAGGTAAAGTAGGAGTAGCCAAAATTGAAGGAAATATGAGAGAAAAATCGGTTCCGGTTGGGTTTGGACATGTGCAAAGAAGGCCTACTGACGCTCCGGTTTCGAAAAATGTGACTACGGGACAGAGGTTCAGGGCCGAAGGGGTAGAGGAAGACCTAGGAAAACTTTGGAAGAGACCCTAAGAAAAGACTTGAGTACTTGGATCTAACAGAGGACATGACACAAAACCGAGCGCAATGGCGTTCTAGGATTCATATAGCCGACCCCACTTAGTGGGAAAAGGCTTTGTTGTTGTTGTTGTTGTTGTTGTTGTTGTACTAACAATTGTTCATTTATCTAGATTGTTAGGTTCGTACACAAAATATGTTTGTAACAAAGCTCATCATGAAGGTTCTATTGTGGAAGCACACTTGGCATACAAGTCTTCAACTTTTTGCTCAATGTATTTATGTGACGTTGAGATGGAATTCACTCGACCAAAAAGAAACTATGATGGTAGTAATCCCAATGTATTCATTTTAGTGTTTGCTCAAAAAGCACATCGATTTGGTGCTCATGTAATGGTTCAACTTTCAAGGGAACATATAGATGTGGTTTATTGGTATATCTTAGATAATTGTGACGAAATAGAAGACTTCAGAAAGTATGTGATAGTAATATTTGAACATTTATTTAAATAATTATAATTCCACAACTTTCACTTATATTTTATTTATTTATGCAGTGAGCATATCGAGATTTTAGAAAGAGATAGTCATACTAATGTACAACAAAGGCATAAACAGTTATTTTCGAAATGGTTTAGGCAGCGGGTCATGTCATTGTATTATTAAGAGCCTAGATTGGTAAGTGAAGAGATTTTTTTCATTAGCCCAAGGTCCAGATCAACGTATTGTCCAATACATAGGTTGTATTGTGAACGGCATTCAATATTTGGTCAGACATGTTGATCAAAACCGTACAACACAAAAGAGTGGGGTTATGACGCCGAGGTCGCACAATGGTGAAACATGTAACTTTTATGGCATCTTAGTTAATGTTATTAAAGTACAATTTACTAGAGGTTTTAAGGTGATTCTTTTCAAATGTCATTGGTACAATACAAATACAAGAGGTAAAAGAGTTATACAGGATTATCATCTTACATCATTTAATGTAAATAATCGTTGGTACAATGGTGATCCGTATGTGTTAGCTAAACAAGCACATCAAGTATTTTATATTGATAACTTAAAATTGGGTCATCCAAGATACAACATAGACACATTTGGGATGTTCCTGAGAAAGATGATGATGATGAGGAGGAGGAGGACAATGCCACTGATGAAGACGATGATGAGTATGTAGATGAAACTAAAAATTCTACAAGGTGGGTCCATAATGACAATGAAGTTGATATATCATTATGTAAAGATGATGAATATTTTGATATTAACAATGAGGAGGTTCGAAGAATGCTAGGGCTACAGAGGGATGGGGAGGAGGAGGAAGAAAAAGATGAGGAAGAGGATGATGAGGAGGAGAATGTTGCAACCAGCGA